TTTTGATAACAAGGCAGAACCCCCCGACCCAACATTCATTAGTTTCGAATGAAGAATGAAGAGTGCCTTGCCCTTGCAAGCATCTACTCCTATCCCTACTGGAAAACAACTATGGAGGAAGAGAGGACTGCCTTACAAGTTAACAACACTTGGCAACTTTTCTCGAGGTCTAATAACATCAATATTGTTGGTTCCAAGTGGATCTTCAAAACAAAACTAAAAGAGGGTGACACAATAGAACGTGTTAAAGATCCCACATTGTTAAGATAAGGGACGTAACAAATATTTATAATAGACATGGGATACTTCTCTCATCACCAATTGGTTTTGAGATGAATGTGGATGGATTGAGCTAATGTTTTCCAAAATTCCAATACGAGAAGCAGATTCAACTTCTATTTATTATAGATTTCGACATATTCTAGGGACCGATCCATCTCATTAAAGGATTTTGTGGACAGAGCACATTCCTGGGACGTATTGAATTCTTCAAAATGGGGATACAGGTTTCACCGTACTTCTCAGAAATGCCCTTTATATTTTATTATTTTGATAAAACTTCATATTGAAAATTGTAACTAGCTAATTATTTTTTTATATACACGAGCGAATGACAACAATGGATAATTAATTTGCAACTTGTCCAACTATACGCGTACGTAAGTTATAGTTTTGCATACACACACATGTGATTCATTCATGAGAAATATGTACAAAATTGACATGGAGCTTATAGTCAACCAAGAAGCGGTCCAATTTATAATTTTTTTTCCTTTTCTAACAAAAAAAATTGAGGACGCAGAGGTTTAAACTTCCAAGCGTCTAATTTATAATTCTATTTTCCGCTTCTAGATAAAATAATTCAATAATAAATTTCTGGGAAAATAAAATATTTTCTTAAGCAACGGCCACCACATTAATAAGAAGCAAGAAGGCAACCTTTTTTTTTAATAGAATAGTTGAGTTCAATAGAACCCAATTTCTGCACGTTTGATGGCTATGGTATATCTAATAGAAATCAGCCTTAGAATCTGACTTAGATAAATTCAAACAAAATTAGCAGCCTATGAATGTACCATAAAAATAAAAATAAAAAGTAAATTAGCAGCCTTACAATCTGGCGACTTGGCCAAATTGAAACAATTTGTTTTTCAGTTTTTGCATCACAAAATAGAGACTATAAGTAGGGACGAGGATAACCCCATCTAGAACATAACTCACATTAATTAGCAATAAAGAAAGCAATTAGATTAATTGTAATTGATTGATCATGGCAATTGAAGCAATGATCCACACCCTCTTCACTTTTGCTTTGCTCTTCTCCTCTGGTATGTATACATTATTAACAACATTCACTGTTTTTATGTTTTAAGTTTTGGATGAATTAATAATGTCATGTGTTTGTAAAACAGTAGTCCATGCAGCCACATTTGTTGTCAAAAACAATTGTCCACAGACCATATGGCCCGCAACACTAACCAGCGGCAGCGGACAATCCCAACTCTCCACCACTGGATTTCAGTTGCTTTCTGGAGCGTCGAGGAGCGTAGATGTGCCTGCGCCGTGGACGGGTAGGATCTGGGCTCGAACGCGCTGCTTCGTCGATAGCTCTTCAAGATTTTCCTGCGAAACTGGAGACTGTGCCTCCGGCTCCATTTCTTGCAATGGCGCAGGAGGAATTCCACCCGCCACACTGGCCGAGTTCACATTAGCCCCCAATGGAGGCATGGATTTCTACGACGTCAGCCTCGTCGACGGCTTCAACCTGCCGGCTTCCATAGCCACAGTGGGTGGAACAGGAGAATGCCAATCCACAGCTTGTTCTGCAAATGTAAACGGGGTTTGCCCAACGGAGTTGCAAGTCAGGTCAGGAGATGGGAGCGTGATTGGGTGTAAGAGCGCATGCCTTGCGTTTAATGAACCACAGTATTGTTGCACCGCTGAATTCAACGACCCCAGCAAGTGCGCTCACAGCCAGTACTCGTTGATCTTCAAGAACCAATGCCCTCAGGCTTACAGCTACGCTTATGACGACAAAACCAGCACCTTCACATGCAGCGGTTCGCCCAATTATGTTGTTACCTTCTGCCCGTAACCATATAACATAAAATCTCTTTCGTTTCCTTTCATAATTATTCTATATTTTACTGCAGTGAATAAAATTGTACTATATGTACTCATCGGTGGAATAAATTTCAAGTTATAATATATGAATAATACAAGTTGAATGTAATAAAATGTCATTATTGAAGTCAAATAATAATGTGTTCCATGAAATTGTGTGTCTAATTTTCTTATTCCTTATTGATTAATGTTTTTAAGTCATTTTGTGATTGGTTATTTCAAAGCAACATCAAATCCTTCCTAACAATAAATTTAGCAATTCAGGATAGAAAATAAACCAAAAAACCGATGCTAAATTCCATAACAAAATTATAAAAACTTCAAGGAAAAGAAAAATAAATAAATCCTAACTGTCGTTTGCCTCATCTATCTTGTCATTTATAAATGTGAAATTACTTTAAAAAAGATTTTTCCTGGGGTGGAAACTCCTTATATATATAAAAAAAAAAGAGGCACGGTAGCACCATGACCTATAACTAAGAACCATGATGTTATTCTCATGAGGCAAACGATCAAAAGTTCACATTTCCATCTGCCACTATGTTAACAGCATTGAGATGCTATAGCGCCATGACCCTAGGGATGTAGCTCTGGCCTTTCTAACTTGTGGCTGCGTACTACAAGCGCCATGGTGCTTCACACATTTTGGTCTTTGGCATGTCGGGTTTTATTTTCATTCTATACAAGCATCGAGGTGCTACCCTCCACGAGTTATATGCATGAATTATCTTTTTGCTTAGGTCTAAACTGCTAATGAAGGCAAAGTTAATTCCTTTAAACATCCGAGATTCTTTCAAATGCTTGATTCCTACGAAATGACCAATAATTCACATAAAACCTAATTAGATAACACAAACACTTAAAGTTAAGCTATATCAAAAAGCTTTGCTGTTAAAAAATCAATAGAAATGCAAAATATATACAATTTATTGGTATAATACTAGCCTATTAAGTTATAGAATATATTCATTTTATTACAAAGTATATGCAACATATACTCAACATATACACCTAAATATGTTGATGTGATCTTGTGCCGAATCCTTGGCCGCGAAGACGAGGGTTGTTGAAAACTTGCCGAAGCGGAAATTATTGAAGAGGGGCAGCAACCATCAATTTCGAAGGAGATAGCTCACAGTCTCTAGTCCAGCTCCATTTTAAATCTATTGAAGAAATACCTTCATATTGTTGCGAAATTAATGACCTTGAATAATTTCCTCTTCCACAGGAATATCCAATGCATTAGAATGTTGTAAGGACCAACAAATGCATGGACCAACAATAATGGCATCTTGACTTCATGGTTACTAGGAATCATTGGAGAAGATGTGCTGACTTTACTTGAAGGAACAGAAACCGAAAACAGGTATGACAATGCCTTGAAGAGTTGTTGCTCACCATGACAAAAGAAAATGAAATACACCTAAATGAGGCACTTTTCACGTTGAAAAAAGGTTCATTATCTATAGATGAGTACATTAGAAAGTTCAAAACTTTTTGTGATATATTAGCAGCTATGAAAAAGCCATTGGATGACTTAACTAAAGTATTCCATTTGCTATGAAAAAGTCATTGGATGACTTAACTAAAGTATTCCATTTGGCAAGAGGATTAGGAATAAGATATAAGGATTTCGAACTGCCATGTATCTAAAACTCCTTATCCTTCATACAATCAATTTGTTCTTGCTTTGAAAGCACACGACCAACTTATCACTGTTGAAGAAGAAGAAAGGTCCAGCCAAGTAAGTCTAAATCAAGCATTCTTCTCAAATCGAGGAAGAAGCAGAGGAAGGGGAAGACAATTTTCATCGAGGGGAAAAGGCTTTTATCATAGTAACAAGCTATCAGCAAGGAACTATCGTACAAAAGGTGAACAATAATCATCAACATTCAAATGGAAGAGTAGGTTTCAAATAGGAAAAACAAGTGACAGGTCAGATATGTGGTAAGAATAATCACACCGCACTAGAATGTTGGAATAGATTTGACCATGCTTACCAATCTGAAGAAATACCTGAAGCTCTTGTTGCCTTAACTTTGAATGAAGTTGCTCATGAAAATATCTGTACCGACTTTGGGCAACCTTTCATGTGGTAAACGATTTAGGTAAAATTCAATTTCTACACCCTTATAATGGTGTTGATAAGATCTATGTAGGGAATGGAAATGGCCTACATATTACTCACACAGGTCACACTACTTTCAAAACTCCTAAAGGTCACCTTGCTTTAAATAATGTTTTAGTTGTCCCTGCAATAAAGAAAAATTTATTGCCTGTCCGCAAATTAACAAACGATAATAATTGTTCCATAACTTTTAATGCTAACAAGTTTGTTGTTAAGGATCTACAGGAGTTAGCTTTAGCTGAAGGATATGAAAAACAAGGATTGTACAAGCTGGGGCAGCTACAACCATATGCCAAAACTACTTCTACAACCTTTACTACGGCTGCCACCTTAAATTAAACTTCTTCTGTTGTGTGGCATAAGAGATTAGGCCACTTGAATGATCGTTTCTTGAAAAATTTTGCTAATAAACAACTGATCAATGTTACTTGTTGGGCAAAGGAACAATTAGTATGTGTTAGCCTTTTAATTCCAATAAATCTCATGCTTTGAAGCCTCTAGATAAGATTCATTGTGATTTATGGGGACCGACTCCAATCTCATCTTGCCAACATTTTAAATATTATGTCAGTTTTATTAATGATTACTTACGATCTGTTTGGATTTATTATTTGAAAAAAAAAATCAGAGCTCTTATCTTGTTCTGTCAAATTCAAACTTCTTGTGGAAAATCAATTTGAACAAAGGATAAAAGTTTTTCAAAGTGTTGGTGGGGTGAATTTCAATCCACTACCTTTAAAAATATTTTGGAACAAAGTGGCATTAATCATTAATTTTCATGTCCTTATACTCCTCGACATAATGGAGTAGTTGAAAGGAAAAATCGTCATATAGTTGAAACTGGCATCTCGCTTTTATTTGAATCTCATATGCCTCTAAAATATTGGGTGAATGCTTTTCTTACTGTTGTCTATCTCATTAATCGAATGCCCTCATATCCTTGTGTTTTTATCGGCTATAGCATGGTTCATAAAGGATATCGATGCCTAGATCCAACAAACAACCAAATTTATATATCAAGACGTTTTTTATGAAAGTTTCTTTCCTTATGATAAACTATCTACTAACAGCTCCACCAAGAGCACATTTCCTTTAGTTGTTTCTGATTTTGCAGGCACAATGGATAAGGAGGACAATCTACCAAGTATGAAGCTACTCTATGATTATGACAATAAAATTAATGCAATTGAGAATTCAAGAATGGATATGGAAATAATCAGCCCATCCAACTCCGGGCAATAGAAATACAACACTCTAAGCCTACTGACATGATTGAATCAAGGGAGAAAAATATATTGCAACATAAGTAACAACCTCAACTTGAATAAATGATATCCTTACCAACTCAACCTAAGCCAATGCAGAAGACCAATGCAGTAGACCAAGCTCTCAAGTTTCCAAAACTTAACATTTCTTACAAAACGACACGTTGAAACTTGTGCCCAGACCATTGGGTCCAAATGGATATTTAAGACAAAGTACAAGGAAGATGAAACAATAGATCAATACAAGGCACGCTTGGTAGCTCAAGTATACACTCAAATGGAAGGGTTAGATTACGAAGAAACATAGAGCCCAGTGGTCAAGCCAACAACTATCAGGTTAATTTTATTCTTAGCAAAAAGTGCATGGAATTCTAAAGGAGGATGTATACATGGAACAACCACCAGGTTTTGTCTATCCTAAAACCTCTTCTACTCATAAACATGCCCTTGTGTGTAAACTCCAAAAATTCATATATGGGTTGAAACAAGCACCTAGAGCATGGTTTGATAGATTAGCTGATTTTCTTCTCCATATTGACTTCACTTGTTGTACTTCAGACCCCTCTTTATTTATCTACAAAAATGGATCTATACTAACACTTATGCTAGTGTATGTTGACGACATTATTCTCACAGGAAATGATAACTGCTAGATTCAACACCTTATACAAACGCTTGGCTCAGAATTCTCTTTGAAGGATCTAGGTTCCCTTCACCACTTCTTTGGCATTGAAGTCAAGTCCACCTCTAAGGGAATCATGCTTTTTCAAGAGAAATACGCTCGAGACCTTCTTGCTAAAACCAAAATGGCAAGAGCCTCTGCCATAAGCACACCTATGGCAACTTCAACTCAAGAACGTCCAACTGACATTCAACCTATAGATACTAAACAGTATAGAAGCATTGTAGGAGTCTTACAATATCTCACTCTTACTCGTCCTGATATAGTACAAGAAGTAAATCGAGTGTGCCAACACCTTCAACAACCAGTCACTAAGAACTTCAAAGCTGTCAAGAGAATGCTTCGCTATGTCCAAGGAATAATAGACTATGGTATTACTCTCTATAAACATAGTTCTCTTAACTTATACGGTTTTTGTGATGCAGA